CGAAATGCTACGTCGTTCCCCAGATTCTCTCTAGTTAATTAAAAAAAGGAATATTTTGTTTGCTATACTGAAACCGCAACTTCGTTCTCCCTAGTTTTTTCCCCAGTTTTCCCCGCCATCCAAACGTGACGTCTCCGGCGGGAAGCAAGGCACGCTGTCGGCAATGAGATGCGGACGCGCCCACTTTGCTCGCGTCTAACAGCGAGCAAACAGGGGCGTTCATGCTATCTGAAGTTAGTAATCATCCGTTTTTGCACAAAGTATGACTTTCGCCTACGTGATGAACTACGAGAATAAAAACAAAGGCAATTGTGATTTTGACAAAACTTTCTTGGCAACAATGTCAAGCCTCGCGCGGCTCGCTAGTTTCGTGAAATCGCCGGCGTACCTTTTTTTCTTAATTTCTCTTTTATCACAGGCAAGCAATTACACTGGCAAAAGAAGGTCGAAGAGTCTCGGAATGCATGTTTTTACAAATTACCCGAGCACCACGAATAATGCTTGGAATGTGGGTACACGTGCTGCACACGCTCCTCTTACCTGAATGCACGTGCCATTTGTTTTATATTTGCTTTAGAAAAGTTTCCGGGTTGCAGACGCCGGCGCGTGTCCCTACAGTTGAAGCATGCATATGTTCCTTGGTGCTTGGGTAATTTAGCGAAAAGCCTATAGACCATCCCGGAAAAGCGCTGCTGGCCAGTACCAGTTTCAGCGTTTATGCGAGTGGCGCGCACTTTGTTCGGCTTCCGGAGCGACGAACATGCGTGTGCAGGGCTGCGACCTGCACTGTGATTCTCGTAAATATTGCAGTGGTGTATAGGATGGCATAAACCGCGTTCGTGTACGCCAGGTGGCGGGGCGTTACTGCTCGTTAACCCCGTGCTAAAATAGAAAAGATATCTACAAAACCGGGTATTCGACGTGACCCGACGTCACGGGACCTATGCACACATTTAGTTTCCCCGCTAAATTTAGCGGAAAAATCGACGTTACGTAACTCGATGTCACGTGACCTAAACACGAATTCAGACTGCCCGCTGAATTTGGCGGGGAAATTGTTATCACGTGACTTAGGCACCTTCAGTTTTCCCACTAAATTTAGCAAAAAAATTTTTAGGTCACGTGACCTGACGACACGTGAAACATTCATATAATCTCCCCACTAAATCTAAGAGAAAAATGGACGTCTCGTTACCTATTCATCTAGTTTCCTCGCTCAATGTACCGAGAAAATTTATAAAAATTAAGTTTCCTCACTCTCCGAAACCACGGTTTAATGGCTTCTGAATCACTTTGAACGATCACGCATTAAATACTACATTTCATGCTTTGGAGATAGAGGTCCCTGCCAATTTTTAAAAGTAATTTTTGGTTTGCACAGTTTTTATTAGCGGTACATCTACCCGCCTCCCCTCAGCAACCTTTGTATGTTTCGTAGTTTTACTAAATATTAAACCCTATTAACATTTCTCTGCGATAGAAGAAAATTAAGATGTTTCCACCACCTCTTCTGCGAGAGAAAATTCCACGCCAACTATTTGACAAACATACCTGGCAATGGCTCTATCGTACATCCAAGCTTAACATCTGCTCCCTAAAACTCTGTAATACCAGACATGAACTGCAGTGTGTCGAAAGCATGTCTAAACCCAAACATGAACTTTGTTTAGACAAACCGATTCTCGCTCTCGACATATCGGCCGCGTGATTGTAACGCCGAGAGTAGCTCCAGCTGGCTGCGACAGCTCCCGCTGTCCTTAGCTGATCGGTTACCACGCTACTAGAGTGGTTATAAAATAAAATACAAAATGTTCACTGAAGCCAATGTGAACAACAGATGTGACTGCGTCAAATGTCGACTGGTGCTAGAATATGCACGATTTTTCCCGATTTTATTAGCGCTCCTCTTTGGACAGATGTCTTAGTGGTACAGAGCCGGCTTGAGTCTGCGACTGACACACTTGAAGCTGTTCCAACTGCAGAAGGATACACAACTGTCAGCACGCTGCTGTACAGTGTTCTCAGCACAGGGGAGAATGTCTCATGCGACACTAGTTCTCTCGTCACACGGCTCTCGCAAAACCACCTTGACGTGGCTCGCCTCCACTGCTGCCGGGGAACGCAATCCCCCCCCCCCCCCCCCCCCCCCAAAAAAAAAAAGCTTTTTTCGTTCTTTTTTTGTGTTATCTTGAAGCTGCGAAAACATCATCTCGATCGTTGGCGACCGGAAAGCCGCTGTGTGGCTCCCCGGGTCGCTTGTCCGTCCTCCCGCTACTGACGGATAGGGAAAAGTAGGGATCTTTTAAGGCTGCCCGTAGACACAGTCGCCTCCAAGAACTTAAGCGGCCGCAGTAATTTGAAAATTTGATACCTCCCCGGAAAAACTTCATTTTTATAAAATGTTTTGACTGGTAGTTGAGAAAGGGTTATTGGTGCAGTCTGCCAATTTCCAGCCAAATCGAAGCCTATAGAAAAATCAGCGGAGTTCTTCAAGCGCATTGCGGAGTAGGAAAAAATAAGGTCCTTTGGGCATACAATATAGTAGCACACGCAATGTTCCAGTTATAATGATATTATTCAAAAATTTAGCCAATGGCGTGCCCCTTGCTCTAAAATGGCACATTGCGCATTGATACAAGACATCACGATTAGCATAAGGCTCGAATACATTGCGAACAATGAACCGAAAATCGCGCGCAAATAGGAATTTGAGAACACAATGCCGCATTATTATTTTTTTTTTAACACTCGTAGGCATTTATTGTACGGTAATCGCGATTGTGATTTACGCGTAGACAATACCGGCAATGTTCGAAAATAGTGTCAAAGTATTTTCCCATGTCCCGAAATTTCGTATGATTTTCGGTTGGTTTTTCGCAAATGCATTCCAGCCTTCAACGTGCAATTTGCACTTTTTTAGATGATATATTGAATTTGCATCTGAAATAATACAGTGCGACCGTCGTTGGGAGCACACTGTGATGCACTACTCTCAGAGAAGAATTTCTGCGTGCGAGGCTGCAATAGACTCCTTTCGAAAGACTGCCCTCTGTTGGCAGCTGTGGGATCTTTGCACAATGGTGGACTAAAATCCTGACGTCACGGCACACTTTACGCGTGTCACGGTTCAGGGGCCAACCATAGGGATGAGAAAAAAAAATGCGCTCGACGAAGGAAATAACAATATTTATAAGAGACGAGGGAATACACAAATATTAACGCTGCCTGAATATATACAAATGTATGGAAGTTCGAAACAAAAAAAAAGTCTTACATAGGATGCCCACGTAAGGATCTCAGTTGTGGACCGCAATGTTGACGGTGTCTCCGAATTGCGTCCGGCTTATGTCGTCCTTGTTCTAGTTGATAGACATTAAGGGTCGTTGCTCAAATTTCACTGCAGTCGCGTCGTGACACCACCGAATGCGTTTGGCTGGATTAGAAAGTAAAAAAAAAAAAAAGACAGAAAAAGGTGATGAGCGCAGTGACGTCGCACTTTAGACGCAGTTTGATTGGCTCGTCGGCTCGTAGCGTTGGTCGCGCTCCGGCGTTTGCTATCTTATGGAAATGACTTGCAAGTTCCACGATGACAGTAATTATTCCGCCATTGTGGAGTGGTTCCAACCTTCGAATAATCGGCACGTGACTTTCGAAAGGGGTCTATCGATCATTAGCGCATCGTTTCGTCTCTTCCTTCTGTTCTCCTTGTTTTCTGGCGCTTTTTGAATCTAAGATGTACCAACTTGCCCAACTCCAGATTCTTCTTCTATCGATCAACTCCACTCACTGACGTCACGCCCCTGCGGTGGCGCTGCTGTCGGTACTGGAGCATGAGCAACGCTTCCCTCCTCCCGAATTCGGTTTCTGCGCACGCGCAGTGCCCACACACTGTGTTGGTGTATCGTTCAACTCAACTCACTGACCTCACACCCCTGCTGTCGGCACTGCGCATGCGCAACTGCTTTGCCTGACACGAATCTGATTTCTGCACACCCGCAATGACCACAACTTGTGTGGGCAAACGCGGGCTTTTTGTAAACAGTGTGTTCGTCTATAGAATAAGAGTTACCGACAGTTTAAGAAACACAAGGCTTTTTTACTTTTCTTGCTTAGTTCTTCGGTGTTCGAATTCCGCAATTTCATTGCCTACGAAGATGGAGGCTAGGGAATCGCCACGACCTGCGTTTTTCCTGCTCTTAGTGACATCAAGCATCAAGTGTCGGCATTGCATATAGCATCAACGCTTGATGCATATAGCATCAAGTGTCGGCATTGCACCCCTATAGTATTGCGTAGTCACGCACTGCATACTGGTCGGTTGGTTCCGGGCTTCTTTTCTGCGAGATTCATCGTTATTCAAATGAAACGTTCAAACAAGAGCTCGTGCATTTTGTTGCGCGTATTTGCCTTTGGTCGAGGCATACTTGAAGTGTGACGCACGTCCTGGCGCGATGCGGCAATGATACGCACGGCTGCCAGACTGGCTAATGGATTCTCTGGCATAATAGTGTGACTTGGCTTCTCACAGCCGAAACCTATAGTCAAATCCACTACACGCGTAGGAGTAAACAGAGTACTGGCGCTCCCAGTGAGCTTCAAGTTGTTCTTACCGCGTCTCGCCGAGATGACCAGGCCACTAGCCCTGGCGATGACCAACTCACACAAACCCTGAGTTCGAGAGAAGAGCACCGTGCTGTTTAGAATGTCTGAAAGTGCCGCTCGTGTGACTATAGCGATGAAGTAAATCCAAGATATTAAATAAGACACTAAATTGATGGGCGTGCCGCAGCCTAGAAGAGTTAATACAGGTGAGTTACCTGGTCTATTATCACTAGAAAAACCAATCAAGAAGGAAAACTCACAAACACGCCAAATATGAGCTGTTTTATTTTTTTATGTCTGCGAGCGGTGTTTTGTTTGTTTGCTTACTAGGCCATTCCACATGCGTGAATTCGAGCGTCTCAATCAACTCAATGACCGAACGGTCTGACTACGAAACTGGCATTGTCTCCGAGTCACGCGGGTGCATGCGCTCAAGATTGCTGGTCGGAGCCTCCTCGTCGCCCCAAGTCGTCGAAATCTTAGAAGAGTGCAATTTCGCCAAGGCGCCGATAAGCTAAGAAACCAATAAGACTCAACCAACTTGAGTACTTGTTATCGGACCCTTCGAACGCTGGCCGACAAAGATAGTTGGCGCGGAACGCAGAGCAGCGCCTTGCACAGACTCCATTTTTCAGACGCACGAAAGACCGATCAGCACCCGCTCGATCCACATCCACCATGAAGCAATTTGTGGTCCTCCTTGCGCTCATCGGCGCAGCGACGTCAGGTAGGTCCGATCTGGCCTTTCACGAGGCTGTTACCTGCGCACCTTTGCCATCTATGAGCCTTCCGGTACAAGGTGATATGATGCGCAGGCAGAGAGGAACAAGGCAGAATTTGAATCACCAGCCGAACCAACCACTCTGGGAAGCACGTTTTCTTTTTCCACTTGGCGATGAGATGTGTTTTCTGATCCGGAAAAATCGCCTGGTTCATACTATAAGGATTTCTCGGTGTCTTTTTGTATTCTAGTGGTGCGTTTTTGTCGAGTGTTTTTATCTTAAATACCTTTTAAAAATAACATACATGTCATCAACATCTTGTAAACCCTGAGATGGGGAACGATAAAAAAACGGACGTTCCCCCTCTTAGGGTTTACAAGATGTCGATTGATTACCAGCTCGCCTGCACTCTCTCACTGCTTACAATACATGTCATTTCATTTTTGAGTGTGTGTGCGTTTTGTTTGCTCCTTTGGGTGGTCCTTAACCGGTGCAAGAACTTTGGACCATCCTATAGAAGACAGGAACACACAACAGAGAACAAATACACATAGTAAACGGCTTGCTTGTTTTTGTCTCGTGTCGTCTATGGTTATTCCCCAGAGTCTAGACTTTCTGGCGCCTTTATATGACTATGTCACGTTCATAAGCAGACGCCTTATAGTCGAATCCAGCACGCAACAATTTCGAAAGCACCCTTCTGGCAATAAGCCCGTTCGAGAACCGAATCACGCATCGAGTTAATTTGAAAGAGAAAACAAAGAACCAATAACTGCTTCTGAGCGAGCGCGTTATTCTCGAGCAAGCCTGTGAAAAGTGCGCACCCTGTCGTAAAAAACAAAAAACAAAAAAAAAATATGACAAAAAGAAACGTTTGAGACTTTGTAACGGCCCTGGAAAGACGGGCACTGACGCTCGTTTGCACGCTGCTATCCTCGACTGAAAGGAACAACTGTTATTTTGTGACGTGGAAGGGAGCAGAGAGGAGCTCGTTCTGACCACGCACATCGTCAAACCTTTTTTTTTTTATCAGCAGACTACTTCCGAGTGTGTTCATCCTCAACTTTCTTGGACATTAACGCCTATGATAAATGCACTAAAATGAGAATTTTAACTGAACAACAAACATCACAATTATCCCCGGGAATATTTTAGATGACAGTCATGAAATATCAATAAGAAGTAATTAAACTTTTGGACGCGTATAGTTTCTATTACATAGCTCTACAGTTTCTTTGCATTGAATCCTGCCACAATTATCACAAAATTATAAATATCTGCTTTTCTTGATAAAATATTGTAGTATTTTACGATATTTTATCTGTAATTACCTCGATATCAAAGAACACCAATCAATTGGAATTTCAATATTTCCTCAAAAACTTTCTATTCAACAGAATGTGCCAGAAAGTTGGTCATGACGCACCGCAGCTCGACAATACGTGGGGCAATAGTCCACGCTGCAGAGTAAAAAGTTAAACTTTCGATATATCGATATACAGAAGAACGTTGTAAGGGCGGGTGTTCCTGCAATCGCTATACTGTGTAACGCGTATTTATGTCCAAATCCACCGGGTTAGCTACAGCAGAGGCTCTTTTGGTGACGTCACGTCACCAATAATTATGCTTCGCCAAAAAAAAAAAAGGAATTACATTTTTTAATTACGTATGAAGCGTAGCGATTATACGTCCCGCCGATTGAAATGTAAACGGAGCGTTTCAAAGCTAAAAAATGGTATTAATGACAATGACTAATTAAACATAGAAACACATACGCACAAAAAAAAATCGAGGCTTTTTTTTAAGCACACCACACATACGATTGCTAAAAATTACAGGAAGATTTGTTGGTAGATTCTTAGGAAATGCGTTAGCATGACCCTTGGGAAACGCCACACACGTCTATACTTTAGGAAACGCTAACACTGACCCCTTCACTTTTCTGCTTTGGCTTTCTCTTTTGCTTCCCTTAGTTTTTGCTGCCTCTTTTTGGCCTCGTTACGGGGTCAGTGTCAGTGTTTGTCACAGGGGGACGTGTGGAGCATTTCCCAAGGGACATGCTAACGCATTCCTCAAGAGTCTACCAACGGATCTTCCTGTAATCTTTTTCACCCCTTTTCTGCACTCTGCCTGTCAGGGTACGCGACGCCCTTGGAGACGGTCATCCATATCACTCGTGGAACGAATCACATCCATTATCCATACCCCTCGTGGAAGAAACCGAAATTAAGTTATTAAGTTCCCTATTCTGAACCAGCAAAGCAGAGGAACTGAATCACACGAGTTACAAATATGCGATCACCTATGCAAGAACACATAACTGACTGTGTATTTGATTGTCTGCCTACGAAACCAGATATACAGTCAATGACAAAACAAACTGCAAAAAGAAACGAAAGTAGAATGGATGATACAAACAAAACTAATTTAGGCAGAAACCCCCCCACCCTTCCCCCTTCCCCAAAGCGGTGTGTTTAGTGTCTAACTGGTCGTCGTTGAACAAAACCAATACGCTCTTGCGCATTATTATGTTTCCAAAATCCCGAGGATCGCTAGTCTTGCAGGGTGACATTGCGTATATGCGGTTGCGTGTGGCCTTCAAAATTCGAAACCGGGCCCGTTCTTCTGCTGTGCACCGTGCCTCAGATGCTATTTTGTCGGAGCGGAATGTTACAAGACATAACATTCAGTTGTCGAAACACAGCGTCGTATGAGTAACACCATGACGTTGTGGGTCTGACACTCCATAATTCGTGCATGGTCATTTTAACATGCGTCCACGAGTTTTTTTTTTTTTTTTCTATCTTTATTTTATTAGTAGTTCTTACCCTCGAACGAAACGAGGCTGACGCGTTAACTCTTGTCACTGAGAACACAAGAAACGCAGGGCGTGATGTATTATGTTTCCTCTTTTTACTTCCCATTTGGTTCTTAGGTGTTCTTATCGGTGAATGCTGTAATCTGATTGACCGTGGACCGATAATGAGATGCACGCCACGTCCTGCCTTTCTTAAGCTGTCACTGACTCTAGCGCCACTCAGCTCTGCTCGCTTCGCTGTCTTTTAGCCCAACTAAAGGCCATGTTCTAGTTTACTGCCGACAAGCATCGAGCAATGCAGAGCCACGCTAAGCCGTCGTCAACCCCGTTTAGCTAACAGTATACTCCAAAAAAAAAAAAAAAAAAATCCCATTGAAAGGTTTTTCGACGCCGCAAGAACTCTTTCAGTTCGTAAAGAACCGTTTCGCCCAACGAGGTAGAGGGGCTTAGAGTGATAAACCGGAAGTTCGGAAGTGGCACCCCCCCGGTTGCCGCCATATTTTACGCAAATGTGACCACTCGTCACGTGACCTCCCAAGAGCCGTGACGTCACAGGTAAGATGGCAGCGCCCAGAGCTGGCGGATGCGAGTTTGTTCGGTGCGCGGTAGCCGTGATGTGCAGCTGCTTTCCGACGACTTCGGGCTTCTTCGTGCTCGCTGACGCAGGTATAATGTGAAAATATGAAGGAATGAGACTTTATACCGTTTTTGCGCAAGATCGCTCTGGATCATCTGCAGGATATTAACGCCTGTGAGACAGCATCAGCTCTGCATCGCCGTACCGGTGCTTGGATTCCGGGATGTGAACGAGGATCGATAGAACTTTGAGTGCGTTTAACATGAAATTTTCGCATTCTCTTAGCTTTGTTTGAACGTTGAAATATCTGAGAATCTACGCGAAATGTATACGTCGCGTTAGGGCCTAAGGGAAGTTGTTTCAGCCCTCCGTCACCTAACAACCATAGCAACTTTTAGCGAGGAAGCTCCTGCGATTTTAACCTTTTGTGCTAATCCACGATTCTACATTCGATCGCTTTTCTTCCTTTTTTTGTGTGTGTGTGTGTGTGTGAAGTGCACCCTTATTTTCAGCTACGTGGTTGGCGTTTTATTGAGTATGGGGAAGAATAATTCGTTGCAGGCACCTACTTCAAAGCTATTCGACTTGCTATAAGAACAACTGTCTTGGTGCATGCATAGGTTAACTGCGCATTTTTTCTGTTTTGTAGGATTTATTGCAGCTATACTCTTTTCCATCAAGAGTGCGTTGTATTAGTCGGTCAATTATTTAATTGTTCTAATTACCTGGATAAGATGATTCATATTTGTGTTCATCCCTTGCCTGGACAGCAGTCTTGTTGAAAAATGTTGACTACCATTCCTTTCGGTCTCTTCAATAGACTCTTTTTAAAAGTGTGGGCTGTCTATACTTCGCATCACCGTAACTTGGAAAAGGCCAACCGCCACAGCCCCCTCGAGCCAATCAGAGAGACGGAGCAAAGGCGTGTGACAAATCTGTGCAGACGAGCACTCTGGTGATATGCTGTCATGTGCCTCTCTCCAATGTGTGTATTGACTCACCGAGACCGTAGCCTTTGCCGTCTGCCAAATTCTGATGAAACAAATTACAGTAGCTACTACTGTAATTACCCCAGGCTTTCATACTTTGGGTATTTGTTCGACAAAAATGTTATGTCCGCCATCCCTGTGAATTCGGCTCAGCACCTATTGGACTCGAATGCTGCATTGGCGTTCGACGTGAACTGGGGCCCATTCGTGTGCTTAGCGCCGAAAAAAATGGTGACGGTTGTGTTGCTTGATAAGGTTCTGCAAAGGGTCTATTGTGTCATACATATAGGAAGTGTCATGCTATATAAAAATGCATCAACACATACTATTAAACTATATGCTCAGAGGTGTGTTTGTTTTTCCAATTAACAAGTTACAGCAGTGTGCTTTAATTCTATTATCATGTGTGTAGCTTTAAGTATCCTCTCTGCAATGCCTACGAAGGCCCCTGGAAGGAATAAATTAATAAATAACATTTTCACATCACTGGAGTTGGTTTTCGGATGCACCACATGTTCAGGAAAGGTTGAACAAGTGGAGTCCCTTGCAAGAAGTCTGCCAGTTTGGTATGACCCCTTAATTAATATTGAAGGGTCAGAGAAGAGAGTGTCCTCGTAAGGT